AAAATGACGGATCCAAAATTGGTCGAAACTTGTTTCTCTGGGGTTTTTTAGGTCTCTGATTACGAATTTGATGCTATTTTTCGCAAATTTGAAATCGCTGTTTCAAACTAGTGAACAAAATTTTAAAAAATATATCGGAGTAACTTAATGCTTGATTTCAAATGATTTGTAAGAAGGGATCCCAAAACCCCCGAACAAGAAATTTCAAGCAGATATGACTTCCAATTTGTAATCAGCGATCACAAAAACCCTCGAACAAAAATTTTCAAGCCCATCCAGTCGATATCCAAAAATTTTTCCGCCATTTCGGATTGGCCATTTTGAATTTTAAAAATATAGCATCAGATGTACATTCAGAGACACCAGAAAGTGTTGGATAAGGAATTTGAGAATAATTTCAATTTTTGCAGGATTTTTATTGACGAATATATTTAAAAGTTTTCGAACTTGATGCCATTTATCCGCCATATTGGCAACGTTATTTGAAGTTTTCGAAAAACGCCACTCGGCATTCAAGAGAAGACGAATGCATCTTCTAAGCCATAGAACACTTAAATCCTTCGACACAATTTTTGTTTAGAAGCCTGTCTTTGTAGACGTGGAACGTCCAATATGTATATATACTACGCGAAGCGATTGTTTGTCCAGGACATAAGATCTGCGCCGTTCGATTTTAAAAAAAAAAGGCGCCAAATTAAAACGCTTGGCCTGTGGATATGCAAACAGGTTTTATTTTTTCCAAAAGGGTTGCGACTTGTTGAACAATTAATTTCAAATTATTTAATAATCAATGCCATTATATCGGCCCCTTCGGTCGATTTTCCAAAATGAGGTGTCAAATTAAAAGCCCTGGACTGCAGATGTGCAATAAGGTTTTACTCTTTTGAAAAGAAAAAATAAATCAGTTATTACAAAGTGGGTATCAGCTGAAATGGTTTTGAAAAGTTTTGTTTCTTAACTTAACTATACAAGGGTTGCCACCTGTTTAAAATCCAAATTCAATTTTAATTAAGGCAAGAAAAATATATATCGCCACGCCTGTGCCAAACGAAAGGGGTTTCAGAAGGTAGTAGTTTGAAAATATTTTGAAGAGGGTTGCCACCTGCTTGAAATGTCGAAGTTCACGTACACAATTTATATGAAATATCAAAATATGGATGTCAAACGAAGGGGTGTTAATAAATCTTTACTTTGAACACTAAGAGTATTTTTGCTGCCACCTGTTTAAAGAGTTAAATTCAAATTATTTAATAAGCTAAATAAATTATTAAAATATGGATATCAATCAAATGGGGTTTGAAAAATCTTTATTTCTGAACTATATCAAGCGAGGTTGCACCATGTTTAAAAAATCAAGTTTAAATTAATTCATCAGTTAATTAAAATTAACAAAAATGTTTTAGCTTGAAAATTCGGTTTTCGGACGAAAGAGTTTAAGAAAACTTTAGCTTGAAAGTATTTTGAAGAGGGTTGCCTCCTGTTAAAAAAGTCGAACTTAGTTAACTATTGCACAGGTTATAAGTAATATGGGTATCAAACGAAAGAAATGTTTAGTTTGAACATCTAGAAAGTTTTTGATTTCCAGAGGGCGGACATCTGTTTAAAATTGAATTTAAATTATTTAATAAGTTAAATTAATTATTAAAGTATGGGTACCAATTGAAATGGCTTTCTAAAAATCTTCTTTCTAACCTTTATTTAGGAGGGTTGCTACGTGGTTGAATAATCAAATTCAACTTAGTTTCTGTTTTATTGAAATACATGTGTATGACAATATCAGACGAAAGAGATTTAAGAAGATTTTAGTTTGAAAATACTTTTGAAAACGGCTGCCACCGGTTTGAAAAGTCGAATTTAGTTAACTTATACACAAGTTTTATGAAATATTAAGATATGGGAGCCAATCGAAAGAGATTTATGAAAGCTTTAGTTTGAAAATATCTTTGATTAGGTTGGCTACCTTTACGAAAACTTATATAAATCTAGTTGAGAAGGCATATATGTATATTACACGAGAGGGCATTTTTTGTAATAATTATTAGATTTGCACTGTTCTTCTGAATTTCAAAATGTGAGGTCAAATTAAAGACCTTAGCCTGTAGATGTGTGGTTTTACTTTTTTAATTAACAATCGAAACCTGCACTATGCGATACCTCTCTTCACTTGGAAACAGCTGAATGGATTTAGATGAAATACGGCTAACGTTTGGAATATTTTTTATGTTTTTGAAATTCAATTCTAGGCGTTTTAACGCCTCCTTTTTCGTTTATCTCGAAATTGTTCCCGGCGGTGTTTAAGTGTTGTGTTAGCTGTGATTTCAGAGCACATTCTATCTAAAAACTAAAGCACTTGCCATTAAAATATTGCACAAATTAAAAACACTTTTTATTACTAGTTTCACAAAATACGGCCTCGCCATGAAAAACTAAATTTGGGTCCCTAATATTCTCATCCCAATTCTTAAGCTTCACTCAAAGTTATTTCCCATAACGAAAGCAGAGAAACAAATTTCTACAACATTAAAAAGTTTTTAATGAAAAAGTAATAATGACTCATTAGGCGAAGTCGATCAGCCTCAGGCCATTATTTGACCTTTCGTCGTCGACGGTGGGGCCAAATATCCCTTCCCTGCACACCCTGGCCCTTGAAATCGCCAATCACATTTTTTTTTTATCGTGGCAGGGGCAGCTCTCGTATGTCTTCTGCAAGCGATCATAAAATAGATCCATGGATGCTTCACCCTTCTCTTCCGCGACATGTTGAAGAACCTCGCTTTGACGAGATTTTAGCAACCTCAATCTTGCACTTTGTTGTAATAAAATTGAGATATACAAAAAAATGCATACATTTTTCTGGGCATTATTATTAAAATTCTTGAAATTTTGATGAAACTAGAAAATTTCCTAATTTCTGTACAGATTTAAATTTGGATTTGTAAAGTTTGGTTACATGAGCTATACTTTTCTACAAAAAAATTAATGAATGTTAAAAAATAACAATAGGAAAGTAGTTAAAACTAGTCAAAATGCCGCGTTTGTATAATTTTGTAATAGTATGTATGGAGTAATTTAAATATAAAACCTATAAGGTTGTTATTTATATTAAAATACAATGGATAACAACGAAAACCCAACAAATTCTTAAAATTTTAATTTAAAAAAATGTGTCTTAATTTCGATAGTACTATCGAATGGCGTCACTATCGATATTATTTTTCGGACCAACAAATGGACCGAATGGTAAAAAAATTGACCAATTTTTATTACATCGGGAAATTGAGTGGAGTTTATTCCTCTTTATCAAGAAAATATGCCAATTCAGTTTTTATATTACATCCGCAGTGCATTACAATTGTATATTATTAACATTATATTATTTAAAGTTTTAAATTATAATTTGTTTCTTAATTTCGTTTTTATTAATGCTAAATCAAAAAAATTGCACTCAGCTGCGGAACTGTGAGTCAGACTAAAAATGTTATGAATATCACACAATTCTCCAAAGGCCGCTTCACCCAATCCATTTTTAATCAAACTTACTTGATCCCAAAAACGTTCTATATTGGTAAAATTTTTTAAGTTACCTTCACTCCGCCTCAATTTGCCAATTTGAAATTCAATTATGCCTGCATCATTTAATGTGTTCTTACACGATATGTATTTGCATCTGTAAATGTGACATTTTCAATACATATGTTATTGCGTATGTCTGTCAAATTCACAGTCTTTATTTAACTATTTAAAAATAAGTTCTTTGAAAACGAAATAAACTAAACTCAGATCATTATATCTGTGTGTCAGATGAAAATAGAAACATTTCTATTTTTAATATTTTTATTGAGCTTTGTACCACGATTGTTTATTAGGAAAAATTGAAAAAGCAACAAAGTCTAAGCGGTAGAAGTTATAGCACTATTTCGGAGATCACCACATCTCCTCATCAGACTTCTTTTTNATTTTCCTTATTCAACCAACTACTATCAAGTGCAGCTGATTTGCCGCTATTTAAACTCGACAGCGTGGTTGTTCTGGTCAATTCTATACATCCATTTGCTTATTTGCTTTTTTTGTATAGTTTCAGGCAGGCTATTCCTAAACTATGTATTTGTCAATGTTATTGTGGCTTGTTAACATTTTTATTTTTATTTTTATTTTATTTTTTTTGCAACAAGAGTTTGCGGGATGTACATAGCTCAGTGGTTAACGCTTCTGACTTTGAACATCGAATTCGCAGGTTCGATCCCTGCTGAAGTCTAGAAAAA